CTAGCTTTAACAAATGTGAGATTTGTGTAGAAGCTAAGCATACTAAACCTCACTTTAAGACTGTTTCTAATAGAAAGACTGAACTGTTAGAACTCATTCATACTGATCTAGCAGATTTTAGAAACACTGAAAGTAAAGGAGGAAAACACTACTACATAACTTTTGTAGATGATTATTCAAGATATACAAAAGTTTATCTCCTAAGAACTAAAGATGAAGCTGAAAACTTCTTTCTTATTTATAAGGCAGAAGTTGAAAATCAGTTAGATAGGAGAATCAAACGAGTTAGATCTGATAGAGGTGGTGAATATGGATCTAATTTCTTAAAAGATATTTGTGAAAAGAATGGCATAATTCATGAAACATCAGCCCCCTATTTTCCTCAACAGAATGGTATAGCCGAAAGGAAAAATAGAACTTTAAAAGAGATGATGAATTCTTTACTAATAAGTTCTGGGTTATCTGATAACATGTGGGGGGAGGCCATTCTATCGGCAACTCATATCTTGAACCGAGTTCCTCATAAGAAATTAGATTCTACCCCATATGAATTGTGGAAAGGATACGCTCCTAATTTACAATACCTGAAAGTGTGGGGGTGTCTGGCTAAAGTGGGCTTGCCAGACTTTAAGAAGTCCACCATCGGACCTAAAACCGTTGATGCAGTGTTTATAGGGTATGCTACGAATAGTGCTGCATACAGATTCATGCTTTTACAAGATTATTCTATTTGTGAATCAAGAGATGCTGTTTTCTTTGAAAATACTTTTCCTTTAAAGGAACCGAGAATAAATATTGAAACACAAATAGAATATATTCCATCAACTTCTTCTAGTAAACCTGCTAGGTCTTCTGAACAAATTGATTTTGAGCCTAGAAGAAGTAAAAGGCAAAGAGTTGAAACCTCTTTTGGACCAGACTTTATTACTTCCTTTATTTCTGAGATAAATGATTTAGACTTCATTTCAGATCCTATAGCTCAAATTTTTCTATTAGATGAGGATCCTAAAACTTTTGAAGAAGCTATAAGATCTATCGATGCTAGTTTTTGGAAAAGCGCTGTTAATGATGAACTAGAATCGATAATGTCTAATCATACTTGGGAATTAGTTGACTTGCCTAAGGGATTCAAACCAATCTCCAACAAATGGGTCTTCCGGAAGAAACTAAGGCCAGATGGTTCGATTCAGCGATACAAGGCAAGGTTAGTCGTCAAAGGGTTCACTCAAAGGTTTGGTTTAGACTACTTTGATACATACTCTCCCGTTACAAAAATCTCAACGATTCGTGCATTATTTGCACTAGCCTCTATTCATAAGTTGCAGGTACATCAAATGGATGTTAAGACTGCTTTCTTGAATGGGGATCTAGATGAGGAGATTTACATGGAGCAGCCACTAGGTTTTGAGGCACCTGGTATGGAAGGCAAAGTTTGTAGACTCAAAAAGTCACTCTATGGACTTAAGCAGGCTCCTAAACAGTGGTATGAGAAATTTCATAAAACTATTCTTAGTTTTGGTTTTGTTGTGAATGGTTCGGATGCTTGTGTGTATTCGAAGATGTTTGAAACTGAATGTGTTATCATAAGTCTTTATGTTGACGACATGTTGATTTTCAGTTCTAACATTGAGTCCATTAACAAAGTTAAAAATTTCTTGTCCACTAAGTTTGAGATGACAGATTTGGGAGAAGTAGATGTAATCTTAGGAGTCAAAATTACCAAAACTGAGAAGGGATTTTCTTTATGTCAAGCACATTATATAGAGAAAGTGCTAAAGAAATTTGACAGTTTTGATGTCGTCCCTGTTCGAACTCCTTATGACCCTAGCATACATCTAGTTAAGAATAAAGGAAGTAGTGTTTCCCAAACTGAATATGCTAAATTAATCGGAAGTTTAATGTTCTTAATGAACTATACTCGGCCTGATATTGCTTATGCTGTGAGTAGACTAAGTAGATATACTCATAATCCGAGTGGTGAGCACTGGATTGCGCTTAAACGCTTACTGAAGTATCTTAAGGGTACTGTGAATTGGAAACTTGAGTTTGTTGGCTTTCCTGCGGTATTGGAAGGATATTGTGATGCCAACTGGGTTTCTGATAATGATGAGGTAAGCTCTACGAGCGGGTATGTTTTTACTTTGGGTGGAGCAGCGATCTCGTGGAAATCATCAAAGCAGACTTGTATTGCTCGTTCTACCATGGAGTCAGAGTTTATAGCTCTTGACCTAGCTGGGCAAGAAGCCGAGTGGCTCAGAAGCTTGTTAGCAGATATTCCGTTGTGGGGAAGACCGACTCCTCCAGTTTCATTGTTGTGTGATTCACAAGCTGCGATATGTGTGGCTAAGAACCAAGCTTACAATGGTAAGAAAAGACACATTCGCATAAGACATGAATCAGTTAGACACTTGATAAAGAATGGAGTGCTCTCTTTAGAGTATGTGAAGTCGGAAAGGAACCTAGCAGATCCACTTACCAAAGGGTTAAGTCGGAAGCTGGTCCTAGATTCGTCGAGGGGGATGGGTCTAAAGCCCATTGGTTGAGGAATTCATGGTGGATACCCAACTTAGTTATCTAAGTTCCATGTGGTCAAACGAAACCATGGAAAGACTCATAGTGCACATTCCTACTGCCTATCCCTATGATGAATAATGTGCATGCCCAGGATGAGCTTAATTGCTCTTAATAAATTCATAGCCCAGGCTTTGGGTGGTCTTAGTGAGAAAGACTTGATGAATTTACCGATTTTGGCTGAATATCTATTCTTAATAAGTTCATAACCCAGAGTGAGTGGGTAGGAAATGATGAACTTACCGACAGAAAGGTTGAGTTTGTTAAACTCTTAATAAATTCAAATCCAAGTATTTGGATGGTTCTAGTGAGAAGGACTTATTGAATTTACCGATAAATGAGGTTGAATATTTATTCTTAATGACTTCTTAGCCCAGAGTTTGGGTGGTTCATTTATAATGAACTTGAAAAAAAGTCACCATACCCTTTGTGAGGTTGAGCTATTATAAAAGCTCTTAATTATTTCATATTCCTTTTTAAAGGGTGGTTTATGTTGAGATAAACTTGATGAAATAACCTATGTAAGTGAGAAGGGTTAGCCGCCTTCTATGAAAAATGTTGGGCTATTTTTCTAGCACACTTACTAGAATCCTGAGGTAAGATGGCCAAATATATAATTTTGTATATATATCTTACACATCGAGGACTCAGGTGGATGAAGGGGTTAGTTGTGTGTTATGAGTTTACCCTGATCTTAGAAAGTTCCAGACTAGTTTCACTTATCTAAGAGAAGGATTGCTCATCATCACTATGTACTAGTTCCAGATATGTTCACTAGTGCTTAAGCAACTAATCTCGCTATTACTCTTCTGGAAAGCTTGTTTTCGAGTTTCAGAAGATTTCTTTCGCATTAGTGGGGGAATGTTGGTAATGCTCAATCCCACATAGTGTTGGAAACACTATTGGGAATGGTATTTAAGGCTTGACATTCCACTTCCTTGTTGAGTGATAGAGAACAAGGGGGGCTCTCGCGCACCGCCGCCGCCGTCCGTCCGTCTCGTCTCGGCTCGGCTCGGCACGGCACGGCACGGCTCGGCTCGGCTCGGCTCGTGGTCGTGGTCGTGGTCGAGGTCGAGGTCGTGGTCGTGGTCGTGGTAATACGTGTCTTCGACACGTCCGCGCGGATACTATCTTTTTAGAGAAAATTCTTGAGGAATTTCTCTTTGAAAGAAACAAATGGAAAATGTGAAAGATATCAACTGATATTTATAGGCTGCTGAGGACTGTTTGAATTTCAAATAATAACAGCTGAATTATTTTTTATCAGAAATTAAACAGTTTATTCCTAAATTAAATCAGAAACGTTAAGATGTACCTGGACTGATTTACAGCTTTGTACAGAGGAGACAAGCTGTTAATATCAGGAGTTACAGGAGTTATTTGATTTAATTCCAGGGGTTACATTATATAATTTCGGGAGTTATAACAGCTGAATAATGATACAATGAACCTGGACTATTTCTGAGTCAGGTTCATCTAGTCATTTCAGCTGTTACAAATAAGAGGTTTAATCCTGAAATTTTATGGACGACTTTAACCCTATTTCTAGCCTATAAATAGAGAGCTATATTCAGCTTCTCAACTCACTCCAAAACATTCACAATTCACTTACCAAAGTGTTTTCTAAAGTTCTCTCTATGAGTTCTCTCTGAGTGCTTTCCGATCAGAAGTGCAATACCACCAGCAGTCCACTCCGGTTTCGGGTGTACGGAATTCGGAGCGACCGTGTTAACCTCGGGGGACGGTCCGCCTACTGCAGCGATTACACACATCGAGGCGAATTCGTTTCTAAGGCAGTGGTTCTTACCACGACACGGTTTACGAATCTGTTCTTCTTAATTACTGTTTATATTTTCAGTCAGTGCTAACGGTGTAGTTTTGCAGTTCATATATCCAACAAATCCTTCCTTGACTGTAACCGACTCCTGAATCCGACATATCTTTGGTAAGGCGCAGATCAGGTAGGATGGTGTCCGATCAACCTAAATATTATTTTTAAAATGATTGATGACGACTCTAACCCATTCATTCAAGTCGTAGCCCAATTTCGGGCCCACCCAAAAGATGATTCCGACAAAAATGACATATTATGATATTATTCTTATCGTAAATAATAATAGGTGTCGGACGACAATTTACTACTAACGACAATAAAAATACTTTAGAATTTAATAATAAAATTAATTCACAAACCAAAATTAACTAAAAACCAAAATTAACTAAAATATAAAATAGTCACATAATATGTCATTTAATTACTTAGTGGTATAATTACATATAGAACTAATTAAAATTTAATTTTATAATCATATATATTTAGATATTAATAAAAAAATAATACAAAGATTAAGATTTGATATAGGGAATAGTTTACCCTAGAATTATATTTCTAAAATTTTAACATCCCGCCGTCAGACAAGCATCTCGTCACCACTGTGTCCCAGCCCAAACCCTACTTTTCCTTCATGTTCTCGATAGACCAGGAAATTATATAAGGGTAAAGTTTGAAACCCTAAACCCTCTCTGCAGTTTTGATCGAATATGGCGAACAAAAGACAGAAATTAGCTCGCAAACAATACAAAGAAGCGCACCCCGAGCTGTTTCCGACCCCAGAGCCAACCCCCGCGAAAGACCCAGACAAGAAGAGGAAGAAGAAACAAAGCAGCAAGTTCAAGCGCAAAAAAGAAGGACCCAAAGAACCCAATAATGGCTACAAAAAGGGGATTAGAAAACACCCACTTAGAGTTCCTGGCATGAGGCCTGGTGAAAGCTGCTATATATGCAAAGCCAATGATCATATTGCCAAGCTTTGCCCTCAAAAAGCTCAATGGGAGAAGCATATGGTTAGATTTTCTTTTGATTTCAGGTTTTTCAGCCCATTTTTTCCTGATTTATTTGTGGTTTTTTTATGAGCTTTTCTTTTACTTTTGATGTTTAAAGATATGTTTGCACTGTCGTCAACGTGGACATAGTCTGAAGAACTGCCCTGATGTAATGGATAAAAAGACGTGCTACAACTGTGGAGAAACTGGACATTCACTTTCGAAATGTCCTCAACCTCTTCAAGATGGTAATTTGCTCATATCGATGCTGTATGTTCCAATGCTTTACATTGGTTTCTTTTATCCTCATGATTCAATGAACTGGAATGCAAAATCTGGAGTGTGTTAGTTTACCATTGTGATTACAATTACCTTCTTAAATTTCTGATGTGAATCACGGAGTCTCTCTTAGGATATTTAGTGTTAAATGATTCATTCTTTCTAAAATCTAAATAGATTCAAATGCTTATCTTCAAAATGAATTTGATTCTAGCTTAGTTGTGGTAGCTTTTATCTTTTAGCATACAATATGATTTAGACCTACAGAATCTATGCTCTCGAATAGGCTTGTTTGTGAGAATTTCATCTATGAGAAGCTCTAGATTGTTTATCGTCGGTAAATATATTTTCTAAACATACTTTTTTCACACTCTCAATTATGGTTTGTTTGTGTTTGAGCTGTTCATCATTTATTGCTATGGATGATGATTAATAAAATCTTTTTTGTTGCAGAGGGGACTAAATTTGCCCAATGTTTTGTCTGTAAGGAAATTGGACATTTGAGCAAAAACTGCCCCAAAAATACTCATGGAATCTATCCGAAGGTATGTTCGAATAAATCATATTTGTAGTTTTTTTATTTATTTTTGTAATGCAGTGTCGTATGTGTTTTGCGGAGCAGCCATCATGTTTATTATGTGGATATTCATTGATAAATGTCTCAATTTATTTCAGCATTCTTTCTCTTCACCAATTTGACACTTGATTTTTTGATCTCCAATAGGGCGGTTGTTGCAAAATATGCGGTGGTGTAACCCATTTAGCCAAAGATTGTCCTGATAAAGGCAAAAGAGCATCTGCTGCAGCTAATGGAGAAGGCACATGTAAGATTTTTCATTACCAAACTTGGGGATTTATCCCAACTGTTCTGCTGTTTGTTTGGCATAATTCATATAACTGTAACCTAAGTTTACCTCGAATGAAACCCCCTGTTCTTTTACAAGTGTTGTTTCATTTAGTGAACTTCTCTAAGTACTCAGTACCCCCAAGATAAGTTGTTGCTGTTTGGGGACAAGATTTTCGCGTCGTATCTGGTTTTAATAAGAACCATTAAAATCTTTAGTTATTTTAGGTTGAAAAAGGAGGAAACAAGCATCTTTCAAAAGTTTCTCGGCGAATTTGGGGTTGTCGGTCTTGTTATTCTTGTTAAGTAATGATAAGAAGTTAGAATGACAAAATAAAGAAACGATCTTATTAGGAGAAGAATTTTGGTCCTTTGAGCGTGTAATGCTCTTTCCCGTTACCCTGAATTTTATGTTTTCAACTATAAGATAAGATAGCTGTACAAACTTGGGGCTGGAGCAGTTGTGATAATGCTTATATGATGTAAATCTCTTCTTATATTGACCTCAACTGCTTTCGAAGAAAAAACCTTGATGACTTTGAGGATAGTATGACAGGTTCAGTGTTGGTAGGTTAATCTGTCAACTTATTTTATGATGAAAGTAATCACATGCTAGCAATGTATACCTGACCTGCTAAAAACTTTTCTTCCAATGGAATCATATTTTTTCTCTTTCTGAACGTGCAATCACACGATGTAGGGTTATGCGTGTGGAAAGTTAACCTTATGTCCTTTGTATCGTTTCCTGATTTCAGCGATCGGAAGCTTTGAAAGGCCTAGAGGGCAAGTGACGAAATTCATTAGCGGAGACGATCTCGAGGATGACTTCGCAACACAGCAGTCAACGGACAATGCTTCTGACGCTAAGATAAATTCTAAAAGGCATAAAGGGCCTAAAGTAATAAATTTTGTAGGATGAAAACTCTCTCATCCCCTGAAATTCATGACTAGCGTTTGTTATCAAGGCCGGCAGATGCTTGTATGGTTCACTAATGTGCTATAGTTTTTAAAATATGCATCTATTTTCTCCCTGTTTTAGTATTTGGTCCTGTTTGAAATAACATTGAGAATTTTACATTTCCCCCTCAATTCATTGCTTATTGAATGAATTCTTTCAATAGTAGAGTACTTCGGAAGTCATTGAATTATGCTCAAATATTTCTTTTGATCGCTGGATTTTCAAATATTATATAAAATAGTCATTAAATTTATTGAACCATTAAAAAAATGTTCCTTGCCACATTATAATAAGTGTACTTTACCCTTCTTTCAATGTCAGTATCTTGTCAATAATCATCTAATAAGCAAAATATCTGGACTATATATTAGAATAAATCCGGACATAATTTATATAAAGTGGACTTAAATCAAAATAAAATCTGAATCGAGAACGTGTGCATGCGGAAACTCTAATATTATTTTTGAATAAAGTATGAAAAACTAATGCCAAAACCTGTAGCTGGTAAAAATAGGGAACAATATAAATTGGGGCATGGAGGCATTGGTAGAGGTGTGTAGCCTTTGTTTTCGCCCTCAAATATCTCTTCACCATCACATTTGTCTCGCCAGCCAAGAATCCATCCCCTGAATTAAGGATCTCTTACTCATATCCTACCCAATACTACATTTCTCTCTTTCACTCTTCATTCTCCCACAAAGGCTTTCTTTCTCTTTGGACAACAAAATGGTGAGGTCTCTTTTCTGATGTCGGATTTATGTTTGATTTTATGTTTGATGCACTGATTATCGATATATGCATCCATCGATGTACGTATATGCAAATCAGATACGCCGAACGGTTAATATGTATTTTGTTGTTCTTGGTTTCCATATATAGGCGAATGCGGCGTCCGGGATGGCTGTTGATGATGAATGTAAGCTGAAATTCTTGGAGCTAAAGGCGAAGAGGAACTACCGGTACATCATATTCAAGATTCATGAGCAACAAGTGGTGGTGGATAAAGTCGGGAACCCGGAGTCGACCTACGAGGAGTTCACGGCATCTCTGCCTGCCGACGAGTGCCGATATGCTGTCTTTGATTTCGACTTCACCACTGATGAGAATTGCCAGAAAAGCAAAATCTTCTTCATTGCATGGTAACCCTACTGTATACACCTCTAGGCCATTTATTCAACATTGGTTCCAACTTGGAAAAGCAAAAACTTCGGCCATTGCTGCCCACGAAAAACAAAAACAAAGAAGCTAATGTGAAATGGGGTTGTATAATCTCTGTCTCATTTTTGTTCAAGTATTTTGCAGGTCACCCGATACGTCAAGGGTGAGAAGTAAGATGGTGTACGCTAGCTCAAAGGACAGATTCAAGAGGGAACTGGATGGCATTCAAGTGGAGTTGCAGGCAACAGATCCTAGTGAAATGAGCTTCGACATTATTAAATGCCGTGCAATTTAACTCTTCTTCTTCTCCCAAAACATTGATGGATCCAACCGGTCATGACCATCACCATCTCCGAGTATCCCTTATTTGTGTATGTTTTACAAAACCTTTCTTGCCTGGAAGAATTCACTTTCTGGTGTGTGGTTTTGTGTTTTGTTTTTTTTACCATTCATCGTGTAGCTTTAATGTAACTCTTCAGTTCTTTATACTTTAATTTATTGTAAATATACTTTCAAACATTTGATTTCCATTCCTTCTCAGATATATGATTTTCTTTTTAAAAAATAAATTGAATCTCATTAAAAAACCCTTTCATAATCGACGATTAATCAAGAATTATAAATCAAAAAGCGGGATGGAAAAAACGTATAAAAAAACTTCATTAAACAAACAAACAAAATACAAAACAAAAAGGAAGAACAAAGCAGATTCGCTCCAACAGAAATAACAATTCCCAAGCACAAAATAACCCTGCAAATAATAACCCAAAATAAGAAATCAAGTAACATCAATTAATCTAAATCAAATACCGTAAAAACAAATTATAGAGTGATCTTTTCAACTCGATTTATTTTCTTTTATGACATTAGTATTTAAACCCTAATATTATTTAATGAACTTTATACCTCATCCGGTTGGACTAACATTTTAACATTAGAGAAAAAGAAACGAGATGATAAAATAATTTGTTTACCACTCATTTTGATCCGTTAACTATGTCCATTTTCTCATTTTCATATCTATTTTTTTGTTTAACAATCATTTATGTTCAAATTTAATCAAATATTATATAAGAGAATTATATAAGAGTATATCAAATTTTAGAATCCTATATATATATATATATATATATATATATATGGTCCAAGAGCTTATACATCCAATACAAATTCTTACATTTTCTATGTAAGTTATTTCTTCACCAAATGGATTGTATAATAATTTTTTAGATTAGAAATAAAATTTAGATCACAAACTTTAATATATATAATTAAGGAATTTGGGTACTAGTTATTACTCTAACAATTAGAATAACGAAAGAAAAAACGCATCAAATTTTCTGAAATGCTCCATCTATTAATCTTTTTTACAATTGCTTCCTCTATAGATTGCATTCTCTTCCGATTGTTGTTCATTTCTTTAGTTTTTAGATCATCATTCCCGAATTCATTCTACATACATATAGCTGAAAGAAAAAAGAAATTCAGCTTTTATGATTTGACTACGTGATTAATGTCTGGGGGCATGCAGTGGTGTCAACTTTAAGACGCCATGCATTCCATGCAATTTTATGGCAAACACGCATGGAACACCATGTAGCATTCACCCTATTTAAGCAATTAATCTATGAGTACTATTATTTCATAAATTATTTTTTTCAGATGCATTATTGAAATTTTTTTACCATTAGATAATATATGAATCGGTTTTAATTTTATATCATTTAAAATTTTTAAATCAAATCATTATATTTAAGATTATTTCGGGTTTTAAATTATTTTAAATTTGAATAATTTCCTGTTTAGATTGTTTTGGGTATATCAATTTTAAGTTGGAAGTAGTTCAAAATCGACATGTTCGGATTAGTGTAGAACATGCTATACATGAAGAATTTCCTTATATATCCATAAATATCTCTTCGTTTTTTTTTGGGTTATATAATTATGACCAGAAATCTGATCAGACATTTCTCTTATCGGTTTTGTTTTGTCTACTATTATTAGTACAAAATAAGGACCGATGTCCATGAGAAATAATAACTCAATACTTTTGACACAATAATGCATTTTGCCTAAGCTTCCTGCAAACAATCTCATTTTCACCTGTTCGTCTGCTTACCTTTGATTTTCATTAAATTTCTTCTCCCATTCGTCTACTTGCTTCATCGAATTCTCCTTCTCGCTAAGCAAAGCGTGTAGCAATGCCGGATCATACGGCGGAGGCATGGTGCCATGGTGCAGGGGCTCTGGCCGGACAGGCCATCGATTCCGAACATAATTAGACGGCTTTCTCGGGTACGGTGGGCTTGTATCTCATCAGTTTACCGCACTCGTTTCAGAGATGAAACATGTAGTCATACACGTTGTCTACCTTTAAATCCTCTTTTATAAACTCACTTGCTGCCTTTCCCATGGCCTTTGCCTGAACAAACAAATGGAATGAGGAAAACAGTATATACGTGTAAGGGTTAATTCTATAAAACATTCCTAAACTAAGAACAGATTCTAAATTGGTCTTTAAACTTCAGAAACATTCTAATTGAATCCTCAAGATATCAAAATATCATATTAATTAAATTCTTCCATCAATCTAAAATCGACCGGAGAATTAAATGACAATTCTGATTCAAATACGGAACATATTTAAAACATGTTGATAAAATATTAAAACTTGTATACCTAACTACTGCATGTCAAATGCTGTATATATTGCATGTCAAACAGATTCAAGCTATAATTCATGCCATAAGGACAAACAGGTGCAAAATTTGAACCACGTGTTTGATATGTACTATACATCATATTTGAGTTACTAATATTTTATGTCCAAGTTGACTGTTAGAGTGATACTTGATTGATACGATACTGACACTTTTTAAATTCGACAGTATAGTTTGAAGATGTGAAATTAACCCAATATATAAAGAAGATCACTACCTCTTCAAGATGGGAGTTGCCCCAGTTAACAGCATACTTGATAGATCTGCACTTATCATCAGGTTTAATGGGCCAATAATGATGCAATTGCTTCAAACTCTGGTGAAGAAATCAGAGTATCGGGGTCTTACGAGCAAGGTAACAGAATCACAAGCTAGGGTGTACTTTTCACTCACGGACCATGCAGACCCTTCAACGTATATCTTAAACCTACAACAATTGTGCATTCAGTACGAAGAACTTGCTAATAATTAAAAAAAAAAGTGAAGGGACTTGATGATTTAACCTGTTAGCACATTGGCTTTGCCAAGTTCGATGTCTTGTAGCCTTGTGTTCTTTCTTCTATCCAGTTCTGCAAATGCCCATGTTAGCTTAATTCTTGAAGAGTAAATCTGAAAAATAAAAGACAATCACTACAACAAAACTGTTCTATAGCGGCGTTTGGAGAGTAAACGCCACAAACTTTAAACATATAGCGGCATTTACAATCTAAACGCCACAAAATGATACTTTAGCGACGTTTCTTAAAAAAACGCCGCAATAGAGTAGTACTTTAGAGGTGTTTTTATACAAACGCCGCAAAAGAGTTAATCTATAGTGGCGTTTTTTCAATAAACGCCGCAACATAATAGTATTTTAGCGATGTTTTTATACAAATGACGTAATAGAATACATCTATAGTAGCGTTTTTTAATAAATGCCGCAAGAGAATAGTACTTTAGCGGCGTTTTTATACAAATGCAGTAATAGAGTTCATCTATAGTGTCGTTTTTAATAAACGACGCAACAAAATAGTACTTTAGCACGTTTTTATACAAACGCCGCAATAGAATTTATCTATAATGGTGTTTTTTAAAAAACGCCACAATAAAATAATACTTTAGCAAATAGAGTTCATGATTATTACTTTAGCGGCGTTTTTATACAAACGCCGCAATAGTTTGATTGTTTGTGGAAAAACGCCGCAAATTTTGGAGCCCTTAAATACACTTCCAGACATTCCAGTTTCCATCAAATTTTTTTATTGGTTCCCCCCATGTGGCCGTGAAACCCCCGAAGGCTCCTGGTCACCTCGAAACACCGTTCATCAGTGTAACTCTCTCTCTCTACGGTCGACAACTGAATAAAACCCTAGATTTCCCTCGTCTAATCTCTAAAAAAAGGATCTTGATTCTAAATGAAACCTAAGAAAGCTATAAACCCACTCACTCCTTGCTCAACAACCGACGACCCTCGGTCTACCCCCTCACGATGACAAGCGACGAACGATGACGATTTCTAGGCTTCGGTGAAAGGTTCAGGCGAACGAGGTAATAATCCCCTCTCCCTTCCTATTTCGTTGGCCCCTAAAGAAATTAGAGGATCTATTGAGTTCGTAGATTTATTGTGTTTCGCACTTGTTTATTTAATGCATTTTGTGAGGTAACAGTCCCCTCTCCCCTCCTCGAACTCCCTTTTCATTCGATCAATCTCCGATTTCTTGAAAGTGATTTCTACCGCAAGCTTTTCACACACTATCTCCAACGCTTCTTTTCCCCTTCGTTCCTCGGCTACTTCTTTACCCAATTTCTTGTTCAGAGACTCCATCTTTTTACGTGCTTCTGTTTTTCATCATCTTTTTCATATCTTAACTTTCGTTGTATATTCAGTTCTTGCTTCTTCTACTTCACTGCTTTTGCCTTTTCTCTGTAATGGGGACTTTCACTGTCAAAGAAAGCTTTTTTGGGTAGGCCTATGATTTAGGATGCTTTTACCATTTTTATGGAATATATATATATATATATATATGTATATATTGTATAATTATAAAAAATAAAAAATTGTGGGATAATTCCAATGAATTTGTATACATTTGGTGTCATAGGGTTGGGGCCTCTGTGGGCAAAAAATTTGCATATTTGATAATGAACATGGTGGTGGGCCTCTATGGGCAAATAATTTGCATATTTGATAATGAACTTGCAGGGTATTAGTGGTGTTGGCAGTGTTGTAGCTGACATGCTAACAAGGTGCGGTATAGGTCGCCTTTTGTTGTACGGTTATGACAAAGTGGAGTTAGCTAACATGAATAGGCTATTCTTTCGCCCTGAGCAAGTGAGTATGTGTATCCTTTTCCATACTGTTTCATTGTGACTTCTAGTTGGAAAATGCCACTTTTCATGAAATAGTGAGTCCATATTTCTTGAAAGTAATATAACATTATAGAATTCCCACCAACTTTCTTGATGCAACTACATGTTTTGCAAGGTTGTAAAGCCAGAAGCTTGGCTTTGTACCTTAATTTGAATAATCTGACTTTCAAATATCTTTTAAAGGTTGGTATGACAAAGACTGATACTGTTGTTCAGACCCTTTCAGACATAAATCCTGATGTTGTGCTGGAGGCAAGTGTTTTTCATGAATGCCACCTTTATGTTTTTTATGCGAAAGGTGGGGTGAGTGTATTTTAATTAGATGATGTTTCAATTCAAGGCCTACTGTGGAAAAAAGTTTACGTGGTGTGGAGATGGAGTGTTTTACGTACGTTTTGTTTTCTTTCTTCAGTACATATTTGAAGTTGGTTGTCATTTAGAGTTTCTCGACAATTTACTTGCTGTTTTGCGTTCTTGATTTTAACGTGCATGATACATTGGTTTACGAGGAAGTGATGCCGAGATTTAGGCTTTCTATTTCTAGTGAAACAAAAGACAAATTTGATAATTTTTGTCATCTTACAAGATTTGTCTTCTCTGTATAGTATTGTATGATTTGTAATCTAATCAAATCAGTAATGGAAAAAGCATTATGCATATACTTATAATAATAGACAATTAATTTGGTGCATCACTGAGCAATTTTAGATCTTACCACATTGATTGATTTATCTTCTTTAGAGCTATACACTGAACATCACAACTGTACAAGGCTTTGAAACCTTTATGTCAAGCTTAAAGAATAAAACATTTATGCATATATAACCAGTAGAATAGGCGAAGATGGACCATTGACAACAGTGAAGCCTAGAGGTTTATGGTACATTTATAGGTGGAATGTTTTAGATTAACAATATGAGGACGGGTAATAATGCTACATTTATAAGCAGGAAGTTTTAGATTAACACCGAGAGCCCTGAAATTTTAACATTGGTGTGGCTATGCAGAGAAGTGCATCCCCCCATTTTGCAAATCCTGAATTTGAAAAATTCAAGTGTTAATTTTTTATAATTGGATCATAGACGTGTTGAGTTTATACTAAAAACTTACTCTATAGGTGCTTTTTCCTTCTGAGATGAATATCCCACAAGCTCTGTTTCCCAAATCTTCTGCTAATGGATTTCCCCGTCGAAGAGGTGATAGAGGGTGGGGCTAGGTTGGAGAATAAGGTGCAGTCAGGAAAACCTAATCAGGGAAGAAATCAAACTACAGGTGAACATTCTCTTACATGAATGTCTTATTATTGAACTATTTTCCTGATTTAAGTAACTTGGTATAGGTGAAGTGGCTGGTGGGAAGGCTGGAGGATATGAGAGTTCTTCCCGTGATCGGCTACTTTTTCTCACAACCTGTCTCATTGGGATATGGTGGAAGTCCATGTGAAAAATGGATCAATTTACACTGGAATATTTCATGCAACTGATGCAGAAAAGGATTTTGGTATTGTATTTCTTTTTTTTCATATTAATTATGCATCTGTAATTAGTTTAAAAGATTGAACTTTGTTCACATCGAACTCGAATGCAAATAAAGTGAACTTTGAAAAATGATTCATCTTCTTAACATCCACTCTGTTACCACTTCAGGAATAATCTTGAAAATGACTCGCATGACAAAGGAAGGTACTTCGCAAGGAAACAAGGCTGTTACTGAGTTTGTTAGCAAGGCACCCACAAAGATTTTAATTATACCTGCCAAAGAACTTGTGCAAGTTATAGCAAAGGTTTTGCTAATTTTCCTATCTTTAGAGTTCCATCCCTAATCGAGTTGCCAGTAAGAGATGAATTGTCAAGTAGTTTATGGGGGCTTTCTAATTATTGATAGTCTGTTTCAGTTAGATCATTATGAATGAATAGTGAAAACTTGGTTAAAATAAAATAATGCTATTTTTTATCTTTTATTTCTTCAATGTTAATTTGGTTGTTCTTAAATTGATTTCAGGATGTTTTGTCATCTAGTCTTCTATATTAATGGGTTTTTTTTCCTATCATGAGCTCTTTTGCGGCGTTTGTATCCAAAAACACCGTTATAGAGCTGACATTTTGCGGCGTTTGTATAAAAAAACGCCGCTAGATATGAGCTTTTGCGGCGTTTGTTTCAAAAATGCCGCTATAGATCTGACTTTTTGCGACATTTTTTTCCAGAAACGCTGCTATAGATATTTACCTTTTGCAGCGTTTTTTTTTTTCAGAAACGCCACTACAAATATCGACTTTTTGCGGCGTTTGTTCTAAAAACGCCGCGATAGATCTGGACCTATTGCGGTGTTTTTTGTTACCAAACGCCACGAATTTTAGCGGCGTTTTTTGTGAATTTTGTCATAAGGTGTTTTTTGCGGTGCTTAAAAACGCCGCTATTGGTTTTTATACTATTTGTTTTTGAAAATTTTAGTCCATCTACTAAAATCTGATCATGTATACTCCTCTAATTCGTAAAATGTCTGTTTCCAGTCCTAAGATGAACTTTTCTGTTAATTCCATCAAATTGGTGTTACTTGTTTTTAAAAAAAATATATATATAATGTGACACAAATTTTGTCATTTTGTCTTCAGGTTGGACAAATTTTTCTAACTAAAAATATAATATTTATCCAACCGTATAAAAAATGTCAAAGTGTATGTATTATCAATATATATTTTAGAAAAAAAGTCACGTCAAATCATTTGATTAAGGAAAGGGTCTAATTGTTCTAACCATCCCCAGAAGGACCAGTCTGGAAAAACGATATCGAGAATTTCATCATCCTTGCAGTAACGAAACAAAGGAGGTGGTGTAGTGGCATTGGGCCCACCGTAGTCGACGGCTCTGATGACAGGCCAGTCAACGCAATCAAACATGAGGTCCAAAGAATTTTCTCCGGGTACTTCCTGTAGACACTAATTTCCGTCCATATTTTTATTTTATACATATATACACATATATATTATATAGTTTGCAAATTGTTTTTGAAAATACATATATAATATATAGTTTAAAACATTTTTGAAAATATGTATATTATATAGTTTTTAAAATATTTTTGAAAATTATATAATATATAGTTTTTGAAAACGTTTTTAAAATATATATAATATATACTTTTGAAAACGTTATGAAAACATTTATATAATATATAATTTTTAAAAACCATTTTGAAAATATATTTTTTGAAAATTATATAATATATAGTTTTTGAAAACGTTTTAAAATATATATAATATATACTTTTGAAAACGTTATGAAAACATTTATATATATATATAGTTTTTTAAAAAAAACATTTTAAAAATTTATATATTATATGTTTTTGAAAACGTTTATATATATATTTATTATTTATTTTTATTTTTAATTTATTTATTTCTCATTTATTTTTGTGCAGGGTCCATGTCTAAGATCTGTCCAAGTCCAGGGTCCAACATTGGGCCTGATCCAGCCCGGTTAGGTTTAGGGTTTTCACAACCCTAACATCAGCCTTGTCACAGCGCCGCATAGGAGGTTCCAGAAGCATGGAGCCAAGCAGTCAACGACCAGCGCACATTCCGGCCGCACCAACGGGACTGAACCATCCCGAGGCGGCCGGTACCATGAACTGGAAGATCGGAACAAGCAACAACCCACATCCCGTTATTTTCGGGAGCCAAACAACCAACACCGGGGTTATAAAAAGCCCCCAGTGAGGCCGACAGGAAAAACCACGAACACAGTTCACCGAACCTCAACAAGATCGGAGTAAACCAAGACTCACGAAAATCATCAGTCACAAAAAAACCCAAGAGCCGGTCACAACAAGGCCAATATTACCAAAACACATCATAAGCCGAAACGTCAGATACAAAAACCCATCAGACACAGTCGAAACCAAAAGAAAAACAACAGCTCACAGTAAACCAAGCACACAGAAAAAAACAAACAGAGAGCCATCACAAACAAATCGGACGAGAATCCACGAGAACAGTAAACGAGAACACAAGAACAAGGCAAAAACAGAAGCATCAACCGTGAAACCAAACCACAATAGCCAACACCAAAACGCCAAAATACAACAAATAAGGAGCAAGCACCGGGTAGACGAAGGGCCGCGCCGGCAAAGGTAAAAGTTGAATGGGTTTTCCTTAGATCTACGCGATTTGGGTTTGGTTACGGTGATTCGGGGCTCGGATCTGACCTAAGGGTAACAAGGGGAACAGTTTGGTGGTTTTGGGTTCTTTCCGGCCGTCGGCAGTGGCGGCCGGACCGACGGAGCAACGACGGTTGACCATCGGCGGTGGCGGCCGAACCTTGGCCGGGTTAGAGAGAGTTGAGAGAACTGATGGTTTTCTCTTTGGGTAGAGAATGAAGAGAATGAAACGAAATTAAGCCTGGTTATGTATATATATATAGCAGGGACCATTATGCAAATAGAAGATTCTTTAATTCTCTCCGTGGTCCCTGGTAGTTTAAATCGCATTTCAATCTGGCCATCACTTGTAATTTCGTCTCTGGATTCTCAATTCATTCAAATTGGTCACCTTTTACACTTTTTATATTTTGTGAATTAACCCTCTAATTTTGTTTTTTTTACAGTTTGGTTTTAGTATCACTTTCAGTGCACAAGGTCCAATTTAATTCATTATGATCCTTTTATTTATTTACCTTATTTTGTTTTTCTAACATTTTTCTAATTTCAAACTTTAACTTTTTTTATCTATTTTTATTATTTTATTTTATTATTGTTATTTCTTTCCCATATTACACTTTTCACTTTTTCCTCTTATTTTATTTACTTTTAAAAGTTAACGTTTTTAATATTCGTTCTAATTATTATTATTTTAATATTATTTTTTTTATTTTTATTTTCCCTATCTTGTTTTCTTCACTTTTTATCTTTTTTATTCTTTTATTTATTTTGACTTTAGTATTTTTTTAAAAATTCTTGCCATTTGATTTATATTCATTTACTTATTTTTTTATTCTTCCTAATTCATTACTTATTTGTTATTTTTTTTTCTCTTAACATCTTCGACTCATTGTTTTCAGAAATTCCAATTGATCAAAGGTAAGTGATTTGCATCGAGTTTTTAAATTTAAATTTAAATTTTAAATTTTCGCAACTAAGACAACCGACAAATTAATTGGTACCGAAAGGGCGGTTCAAGGGTGCTAACCCTTCCTTGACCGTAATCGACTCCCGAACCCGACACGTTTCTGGTACAACGCAGATCAGGTAAGATGGTGTCCGACCCACCTAAATTCATTTTAAAATGGTCGGTGGCGACTCTAACTCAATCAATCCAAGTCGAAGCCCAATTCCGGAGCCCCAACTGAAAGACGGTTCCGACACTTCCTTAACAACTGTAGGATCCCCCACAGCGTAAAAGCATCCCTCGTCTGAAAAGCGTCCTGGTACTTCTCCATGTACGCCGTCCCGTTCACTATAACTAATCTGAAATTAGCAGTCGGTCTAGCTCTCTCCACCATGTCCAGTGTGATCCCCTTGTAGGCCCACGGCCTTAGATCTTCGTGGATCCAACGGAAGTACTCCGGACACGTGGCGTCTACATCGGGATCTTCATATTCGGCTGTTGTCGGGTAGGTTTGGGGCAGGTTCCTGTGAGCTCGTATTCACTGCAGTTGAGTGGGATTTCGATTTGCTGTCGGGGCTTATTGGGGATGGAAGCTCTTGTTTTCGAACTTAGCGAGGATATAAGAGCTAAGCCGCCGACAAGAGTCTAAAGCCGACGGCGCCCGGTTTTTCAAAATTAAAAACGAAATAAATGAGAAATAAATAAAGATAGTGATAAGGTGGGATCACAAAAGCAATTATCCCCACCAAATCCCTACGGCACTAGTAATGAACAATCTTATGTTATGTTCAATTTCACATTTTCACCATATCACCTCTATTGATTAAATCTTTGTATTAACAACTTCAATACTTATACAACCAAAGATTTCAATTATACTTAAAAGGATGATTTACTTATCAGTAAAGATAAATTACTACGGGTAGAAACTCATTTTTGTCTAAATCTATAAAAAAAATTATATTATATTATAATATATTTTATTATTATTATTATTATTATTTTATTTTTATTTTTGTAAGTCCATGTTCAACCCCACCTTCCACTATCCCATTTCCATTCACGTTCTCTCACTCCACTACCCCACCTATTTCACTCCTATCCATTTTTTTCACTACTCGCACTAACTACAAAACAAATCAGTTTTGGGGTGGTTTTTAATATTTAAACAGATTATTCTCATCATTTTCAAAGGGGGCCGTACACACCAGTATTTTGAAAATCGAATCGGATTAGTTAGTTTAATCGGGAATTATTGTCTAGTCCGGTTCAAACTATACCGATTGAATCATTATTAGTGAACCGGCTGAAATCGCTGAACCGTTCGAACCGGATCGATTGAAAACCAGAAAAAACCAGAAAAAACCAGAAATTTTGTTTAAAAAAAAAAAAATTAAACCAAACGACGTCGTTTGTTAAACGAGCCAAGTCGAACTCGAGTATTGCTGAGCTCAACTCAAACTTTAAAAGTAAGCTCAACTCGACTCAAACTCACGAACTAAAAATTATCAAGTTCAACTCGAACTCAAAATATAATATTGAAACTTGAACTCGAAAAGGCTTGAACTCAAAAAAAATTTAGAAGCTCGATTGAAGCCTAAAATTCGAGCTTGATTGAAGTGAAAGAATAGTTCACTCTATGCTCACCAAAAGGCTCCATGATTTTGAATGTCAAATTACCTCTATTATTTATAGAAGTTAATTGGAATGTTCTTCTATGTTTCTTAGCTATGTGAGATTGTTTTGTTCTCATATTTTCTCTTTAGACTTTTGGGATGTTCTTCTATGTTTCTTAGCCATGTGAGATTGTTTTAAAAAAAAAATTAAACCAAACAATATCATT